ATCCAGGCACCAGGGAGGCAGCACGCCATTCTGATGTCTTGCTGTCGGCCACAGAAACATCTGTCTGTGCCTCTGACCAGAGAATCCCCAATCACAATCTTGTCTCAGCTGCTACAATAGGGATTGCCTGATCCCGTCAAATGAGCAATGTGTTTGTTGAGAACTGACCTGAGGCATCCTCAGTGAATTGAAAACTCTTAATGGAGTCATAGAGTCACACAGTATAGACCTAGGCCTTTCGGCCCACCATGTCCATCCCAACCCAGCAAACACCAACCTACACTCTAATCCCATTTACCTTTACTTGGTCTAAAGCCAACTCTGCCCTGGCATTTTAAGTGCTCATCCAGATGTTTCTTAATGATTGTGAGACTACCTGCCTCCACCATGCTCTCAGACAGCACGTTCTATATTCCAACACTCACTGTGTGAAAAAAATTATTTTTCAAATCTCTAAACCACTTACTCCTCACCTTAAACTCTTCTCCTCTGGTCTTCGCCACATCGGCCATGGGCAAGAGGTTCTCAAAATCTACCCTATCTATCTTTCATAAATTTGTAAGCCTCAATCGATTCCCCCCCTCAGCCTCCTCTGCTCCATCTTGTCCAGTCTCTCTCTTAGCTGAGATGTTTCATCCCAAGCAACATCCTGGTGAAACCCCTCTGCACCTTCTCGAGTGCAGTCACATCCTCTTGATAGTGTGGCAACCAGAACTGCACAGTATTCTATCTATGGCCTAACAAATACTTTATTAAGTTGTAACAAGATTTCCTTGCTCCTATATTCTGTGCCTGAGCTGATGAAGGTAAACATCTGGTCTGCCTTCTTCACCACTCTGTTTACCTGTGCTTACACCTTCAGGGATCTGTAGACTTGGACAGCATGTTAAGATTTTTCTTTCACCTTTATAATCAGAGTATAGAAATATGTAAGTATATAAAAAACACAGAGAATGCTGGAGAAACTCAGCAGGTCTGGCAGCAGACCTTGTGAGAGAGAAACAGAGTTAACATTCCGAGTCTGATATGACTTCTTCAGAACTGAAAGGCATTGGAAAATAGTCTCAGCCAAAAGAATATTAAGAAAACCTCTTTTCAAAATCTTTTCAGTTCTGAAGAAGAGTCATACCAAACTTGAGATGCTAACTCTTTTTCTCTCTCTCTCTCTCTCTGGGTTCACCTTCATCTCTCTGCTCACTTCCCTGCTCCCACCTGCCTGTCATCAACATATGTACCACCTTTCTCTAGCTGCCATCTGTTCTAAAGAAGGGTCACTGGACTTGAAACATTAACTCTGTTTCTCTCTCTACAGATGTTACCAAACCTGCTGAGTTTCTCCAGCAATTTCTGTTTTCCTCAGACCATTAGCCTGGGTCCCAGGATTATTAATCCAGTGACATCACCACTAAAACCAACACCTCCCTGGAATGGAAAACTGAGAGCTGTTCCCTATTCCAACTCCAGGATCTAGACCGACCGGGCCATTCATCTTTCTCTGTGCATTTGCTTTGAAACCCGTAAAACCTCAACAGAGCTGTGCAACCTGGCCATTAGACAAATGTGTGTGTAGGATTAAGGGTAAAAGTTGTTTAAGCCTGAGTATTGGTTAGTTAATAGACAATCTTGACACTCTATTAAAGAATATGATTGAGTTATATTTGTGAAATTCAAGAAACCTGTTGAAAGACCCTCTTGTTGTAGTTCAAAGTTATGAAGGGAAACAATTGACCATTCTGCTAATTAAACTAAACAGTTACACTTTTGCTGCAGTCTGTGAGGTAGCAACACCTCCGATCAGAATCTTAACAGGACTGACAATGTGGGGAAAATCCTTCAGAACAAGCTGCATATCATAACAGCATTAAACCAGTGTGACAGAGGAATGCACCCTCTTCACTCAAAACAGGATTAAAGCTCCCTCACTAAAACCTTTAGGACAGTGCGGCACTCCCTCAGCACTGACCGTCCGACAGTGCGACGATCCCTCAGCGCTGACCCTCCCAACAGTGCGGCTCTCCCTCAGCACTGACACTCCAACAGTGCAGCACTCCCTCAGCACTGACCCTCCGACAGTCCTACACTCCCTCAGCACTGACCCTCCGACAGTCCTACACTCCCTCAGCACTGACCCTCCCAATAGTGTGACGGTCCCTCAGCACTG